TTAAGGTTATCAGTTTGACTTTTCATAAGCTTGTAGCAAGTATTACTCGGAATTCTTTAGTCATTGCAAAAGAAATATCCAATGATACTCCTTTTTTAATAAATTTGTGACAAGCATTCAAGAATGAAAACTTCTCTGATTGATCTCGCCTCAACAACTTTGATCTATGGTCAAGTGTTGAGCAGAAGTACTTTAAAACAACAATTCAGGTGGGTAACTTTTCTGTCAATCACTGATAAATATATGACTATTTAAGTTTTCCATTACGATAATTAGAAAACAGAGTTTGAAGCCATATCAGAAACCATAACAATTAGAATTCTCAAAATTAACTTCAAATTCTGTTTTCCAAAACATGCGATTGGAGGCAACTTGGTGACTACAATAAGCAGGCTAACATACATGTGTACGAATGTGTACTTATTTTAAATTATTGAGGTTGCATTATAACTGAAACTTGTATTGGCTAGGACTATAACTCCTTGATTCACCCAGGGAGAACAAAGACTGTAAATGCAACTTATTTATACATACAGTCTAGTAAAAGCGAGCAATTCTAGACAGTGCACTCAGTATCTGGTATGGTAATAAATAGTTACATTTACTGTAGGATGGTCATAATATCAACAAATAGGATATTTAGAAGAATCATAATTCTATTCAAATTAGAATATAGGAGTTATACTAAAAGCCATGCAAACAACTACTGAAATAACCAGTTACCTTACTTCATTCCATACAACGTATCCATTTCAGTCAACTAGAAGATACTTACTATAAGGTTGTTTTTATGTGATATCATCGTTGATTGGACCGATTGGACCAGCTGACGAGTCCCAAACAGGAAGAATTGCGCATCCTGGATTCCACTGCTAGCCACGATCCATCCTTATAGAAGATACTTAGTTAGCTATTTCACCTGTTGCCATGGAGGGGATTTCCGGTTTACTTCGCTTAGAGGAAAGATAACCGTCGAAATGTTTGTCAAGAGTGTCAGCAATTACTCTGTGTGAACTGAAAGCCCTTCCGAAAAAGGAGTGATTATAAAGGCCACCCTAGCAATTGCATAGTTTCTGCTAGAAAAGTAGTTTGCAATGAAAAAACCGTAGTTGGTTATTTCAGTAATTGTTAGGGTGGTCTTTAGAGTCAATCAAAAAAGTAGTGGAGTAATTCTTAAAAGTACACTGAAATTCACATTCAAATATCATTGGATAAGATGTCTGTTAACTAATTAACAGTTGCTTAGTTTACGAATCCCTCCCTGCAAAATCATGACACAAGACTATACCGATCATTAACAAAATGATGTATTGGATGAACGATTTCTCGCCATCTAATAAGAATGGTACGTGGTTGTACAATCAGCTTAAAATATATTTCTAGCTGAAATAACTATTCTGAGAAATAACATTCCTATATTATTCGGGATAATGAATGATAGTAAAACGAGAACCTAGGTCACATGGAGTCCAAATTAACAGTCTCAAGATTGATGATTCAGTATTTTTAATTTGAATGGCAACGACTTGCGTACCATTGAATTGACATAGCTATATGAAGACGCCACATGCCAAGGGATCTACAATGGAAAGCTCAGCGACGCCTTTGATGTGAAGACAGGAGTGAGACAAGGCTGCTTACTATCATCCATGATCTTCCTGACTGTGGTCGACTGGATCATGCAACAAACAGTGAGGAGGGAGAAGATGGGCATACGCTGACTGGACCGATGAAGAGAGCCTAGAAGAATTGGATTTCGGCAACGATAATGATTTATGTCTAATGTCTTTTTGCACAAACTCGAAGATCTACAGGCAAAAACTAACAAGTTGATGGGAGAGGCAGAGAAGGAAGACTTGACTTCAAGTGAATGTGGAGAAGATGGAGGTGATGAAGATACCCAACCAACAACAACAAGCACCAATCACCATCAACGGGAGAAATCTAAAGGAAGTAGCCTCTTTCACCTACCCATGTTAGCAGCATCGTTTCAACTACAGGCGACACAGACACAGACGATAATGTCAAAACTAGGATCGGAAACACAGCAAGACCGGCTTTCATTAATCCGGAATCAGTGTGGAGATCTACTACACTGCACTCAGCACAAAGAACAAGATCCGGATTTTCAACATCAATGTCAAGTCAGTGCTGCTATATGGTTCAGGAACTTGGCGTATCATGGAAAGCATTTCCAACAAACCACAGTTATTCGTCAACAGCTGCCTACTCTGACTCGATACTGAAGATCGATCAGGTGGCCAGAATAATAAGAATCGGCAACAAGGAACTCTGGCCCGGCAACGAACCAACCAAGAACCTATCACACAACAGATGTTGAGGAGAAAGTGGAGATGGATTGGGCATACACTGAGAAGGTCGACTGGGGATATCACTTGCCAGGCCTGGTCGTCGAGTGGAATCCGAAGGGAAATGATGAGTTGGGCGTCAAGTCGAGGGTGACATGGGGGAGATCATGTGAAGAAGAAATGATAGGTTGTGGGCAGTCGTGGTGCGAGGTTCAAGAGACTGTGGAGAAGAGAGTGCAATGGAGGCGTGCTACTGAAGCCCTATGTTCCACTGGGAACCCAAGGGAAAAAGAATAATATAATAATAATGTGTGGCTGGAACTACTAATCACTGATATCAGATGTAAAAAGAAAACCCTAACGTCGAAAAATTTAAAAAACGAAAACACATGTAACTAAAAACACTAACTAAGGAATTGTTGCAGCTACTTTGATATTTCAATGGTGAATAAATTGGGCTCAAGAAGTTATCTAGTTAGCAATACTGCTTCACTGTGTTCTATCATAAATAAACAAAGGTAATTTCAAGCATCAGTCCCTCTTTTTGGATTTGAAAAGGGAAAGAACAATAATAGAAGCAGGATAAAGCGCATCCATTCTATCTCGGTGGTATCTTGTCAACTGCTTACAACCTAGAATATCGAAATGTAAAGTTTTACTGACATTCATTGATTGAAAGATAATAGAGTATTGGTCAGTGGTTAAGATGGAAGGAAATAGTCATAGATTAAAATCAATCGTAACGGTACACTCAAGGATGGTAAATGAGTGGTCATGATTATATACACAAACTGATGGAAATTTTTCGAATAAAATAACGACAAAAGTAACAGTCAAAATATTGAGGAACTTAAGAGCATAAGATAATGTAAGTAGGTCAAATGATAAACAAGCAAAATATTGTGAACTGAGCTCAGTAGCTGCATAAGCAAACATGTTGGAAGGACAGAAAGGACGACGTATCTTAGAGTTCCTTAACACATTCTGAAGAGCCTACCACTGAGGGGAAATAAAACATAGAACAGTGAAATCATACGGCATCTGATTGACAATGAATATCAAGAAGATGTTTTCAATCCTTCAATATAATAAACAAACAAACAAGCTCAATCCTATTGATGCCATAGCTGTTAAACTCATCAAATCTGACTTATGTTCCAAAAGAAGCTATAGTCAATCTCTGTCTCCCTCGTAAGCCTTCTTGACTGTTTTGGTTGGATTACACCTTCCTTTGACTACCATAGATGTTTATTCGTTCACTCTTATTTACTTGCATCATCTTTTGTGCATATCGAATGTTTTTAACTAACCATATTTTGCTTGTTTATCATTTGACCTACTTACATTATCTTATGCTCTTAAGTTCCTCAATATTTTGACTGTTACTTTTGTCGTTATTTTATTCGAAAAATTTCCATCAGTTTGTGTATATAATCATGACCACTCATTTACCATCCTTGAGTGTACCGTTACGATTGATTTTTAATCTATGACTATTTCCTTCCATCTTAACCACTGACCAATACTCTATTATCTTTCAATCAATGAATGTCAGTAAAACTTTACATTTCGATATTCTAGGTTGTAAGCAGTTGACAAGATACCACCGAGATAGAATGGATGCGCTTTATCCTGCTTCTATTATTGTTCTTTCTCTTTTCAAAATCACGGTAACATGAAACATTCTGTCTCGTAAAAGCAGATAATAAACCCAATCATGTATTATACAAAAGTGTTTTTGCTTGTGATACAGTGAAATATATCAGCTGTTTGAAGTAACTTTCATTGGTTCTAACCCTAACCAGTTTATTTTTTTCATTAAAGTAAATCAGTGGATTTATATTCGCTTGTATTATCTCTAATATACATCTACAGATTGTGTAATAAGCTTGAGTAATGACTTTTATCAAGTGTTAATTAAGTAGCAACCTGTTCAAAACAAACAATAACTATCGATTCATCTTTGAGAAAACTCCAAAGATGAGCCAGATTAGAGAGCACTGAAATGAAGATAGATAGTTTTTACGGTTACTAAGAGTTCTCAGTAATAAATGACTTTTCAAGTTCGTATTCATCATGGACTGACATTAGCTGGAGGAACATTGGAAACCTGGGAGCACTGGACAGCTGTTTCGTTCTAGTATGGGAGTCTTTAGCAGCCTGCACCCACGATTTTATCAGGAATCGAACCCGTGACCTTCGGGTTCCGTGGCCAGCACGTTACCATCAAGCCATTGGGTTAGAATCCAGTGGTCCATATTTCTAACTTCCGTCAGTTCACGCAATAGTGCGACCACCACCCATTGCCATCGTGGAGTAGTTTCCCTCACAGCCACTTTCAGGGGTAACGTGCTAGCCGTGGGACTTGAAGGTCCAGGGTTCGAGCCCTGGTGCGATCATGGATGCTCACTGTCGAGGAGTCCCACACTAGGATGAAATAACTGTCTAGTGCTGCAAGATTTCCAATGTTTCTCCCACAGAAGTTAGTTCATGATGAATACCAACTTGAAAAATCTGTAAATCTTCACAAACCCCAAATTCAACAGACGATTTGACGGAGATTCTTTTTGAGGATTGTATTTATAAAAAGAACTTGACATAGATTTCGACACTAACTGTAAAAGAAAGCTTATATTGGCTGAATAATTATATTTTTTCGTCGACTTTTTTAAACAAGTTATAGATTGGAAGATGAGAATCAGTTCAACTGCACATGAAACTATTCTGCTCTTTTTCTATATTGGGATATTGTTCAATAAATTTTCACCACAGCAAGCAGTTCACAACTCTGGCATCTTCAACTTACATAATATTTACACTAAAGACAAATTGACCCACCATCAACAACAATTATTGAAAACACTTCATCATATACCGGGGATTAGTTTCGATGTCAATGGGGAATTTCCGATAATTGATAACCCTGACTTGTTTCAACATGAACAAGATTTTGAAAGTTGGCGGAGACAGAAATCAATACACTCCTTACTTCGCCCTAAACGAGATGTTTTACAAGACTTAGATGAAATCCCTTTGAATGGTAAGATTCAAAATTTACTTGAAAAGATAGAAAAACTGATATCTTGTTTTAATAAACCATGATACTTGTACAAAGTGGTCAGTATGATTATTATGTCAATTTTAGTGCAGTTTCTGTCGTAAATAGTACCATAAACTGGAGTCTACAGGGAATACCTATCCAGTAGGATCTAGACAAGTGAATTTAATATCTGTAAGTGTTTACAGAATATGGAAAGTCTGAAATACTATATAAATTGGGACACCTCTTTCAATTGACTTTAGGCAAATGTGATGTTTTTGTTACTCCTCCATTGAATGCACCATATCGGTTGTTAAACACTGGTGATCAGTTCATGTTCTGTTTGCTTACATTGGGAAGAGCCATGCGCTAAGATGAACTGATACTGTTATTTCAAAATCCCTTGGATGTCCATCAGATTATAACATGGATAGCACTACTTATTGTAGAACACGGATAGATGATATGAGTAACGTAAGACGCTTTATCATAGGAAAATATTTAGTGAATCAATATGTTATTGCTCATAATCATACTACTTTTGACATCTGATTTTTGTAGTCCTACCACCTCATTTTCTTTGTTTCTGTTGGTAGCAAAATCTCCCACATTTCTGGTATAGGTGTTGGGTGTTGATTCGATGAAGAAGGACTTAGTATTCAATCTCTTTCTCCATCTAATTATATTCGATTTAAGTATAGTGGTTTTATCACACGCTATTGTGTGGTTGTGTATTAATGCATATTGTTGGTCTTATTCGGGTCTGTCATTTTATATTTAGTTAAATTCTTATATTCCACTATTCTAATTGACCGCGACAACCCAGTTTCACCTATGTACCTGACCTCATAGTCATTGCATGGAATTTGGTAGATTAGATTATTTTGCTTGACTGCTTCTATCGGATCCGTAAACCGACAAAGCCTATCTCTGAGTAAATTTATAGGTTTGAATCGTTTCCTAATTCCAGCTTTGTTGAGGATCCTACTTAAAGTTTCTTATGTACCTTCCTAATAGGGTAACACAATGGACTCTGTCAAATCCTTTCTACCTGTGTTGTCACTATTATTTGTATTCGTGCTACTATTATTATTTCGTTTCTTCTCTGTTCGTAAAAATTATTTAGTAAAGTGCGGAGGATAATTATTAACTATCAGTGCTTCTTTTACACGCATCCTTGCAGTGACTAGTTAGTTTTCTAGCTCCATCATTTAGACATCTGAATAAGCCTGCCTTAACTGACATTGGATGAGATGACTTGAAGTCCAAGTACCTGTTAGAATGTGTCAGTTTCCTGTAGACGGTAGAATCCAAATCACCGTATCTCGTTGTATCCTGCAATCGAACACAGGTAAGTCTCCTTCTTAATTTATCCCATTCACTTACTAGGTGGAAAAGTAGTGGGATTAGATTGGTATGTTTATGAGCAATAATTTATGCTTGAAACGTCATCAAGCAAATAATACTATATCATTGTGTGTTATAAATCAAACAAACAAATCTAATATGGAATGCCCAAGTTTTACACTTATTAACGTATATATTTTCTCTAAATGGTCTGATATGCAACTGTTTGTCGTTTGAAGAAATGAGCACTAAGTGTGAGTCTCACTTGATTAGCTGCATTAATTTGCAACACAAAACAAACTGTTTTGTCGTGATCTGCAGTAGTATCCAAGAGAATCGAAAGCTATTTGGAAAATCAAGAAAGTAGCATCAGCCATCAGATCAAATATGAGTAGAAATTAATAATATATATATTCTAGTTGTAGAAGGATAAGTGAATTCATGTGAGCAATTGCAACCGATTTCGTTTGATTTTATCTACACTATACATTCATTGACTCTTAAGACTCAGTCATCTCTATTCTAACTGAGCATAACTCCGTATTTGGCTCAGAATAACAAGTGTTGACTTTAAAGGAAACATGAAAGTTTATGGATCTGGAAGTAAATCGTGATGAATAGGTTCAATGAAGAGTATTATTAGTTCTTAATCTTACTTCTGACAAATTAATAAAGTTATTTTTATATGCTTAAAAATTTAGGTTTATTGTACCTGTACACTCACCTTAAATAAATGTATGGTATGTATCTAGTCTATGTGGTAATTACGAAGAACTACTCAACTGACTTTAATCCACTTCTAGGTGTTAAAATAAATTTGATACAAAAGAAAGATTTCTACATAAATGGATGTGATCTCTGGCTAGGCCATAGATGTAAAATGCTGAGGAATCCCACAAAATGACAATACAGGTATATGGTGCCCTCAGGTTTTCAATGGTTCTCCAACTGATGTCAGTCCGTGTAGAATGGCATCTTAGAATGCTAATATAGTAGCGAAGAGAATTGTTGGCTAATTTTTGATCTACATGGGAGTAAAATCTACCATACTACATAACTGTATAAACGATTAGTCTAACTAATAACACCATCCTACTACGAAATAAAACGATCCCTCTTTATTCCATAATTATCATTGTTTTCAACTTGAAAGGCAAGTTAACGGTTGAAACCAATTTGTCTTAATCAACCTTACTACTGAAATACTTTTTAAGTAACACCGTATGTCTGCATTATTTTTCCCCTGTAGATAAACACGTCGTCCAGATCAAAAGTAGAATTCACTCTCCATTAAAATGGGATGAAAAGTTAGCTGATCCAGAGTCGGATATTTTCAAGATTTTGTCAAACAGTTATTGTGAATTTGTAAGTAAATTTTATCACGATCGAAAAACTAAAGGCGTATAAAACAATTAACTGTTATCTGTATGTTGATAGCAGTCAGCTTTTCATCGCGTTCTGTAATTATCAGCCGACCTTACCCACATCTTTATCAGGTGGTGGCTTTCTTTCAAAAAAACTGAGACCAGCACCTATCTCTTCATTTTTTTATTCATGAATGCTATATGGAAATCCGGGATGTATATTTAAGCTTTTAAATTGAATGTGTAGTATGACAGAGCAGAAATAGATCCCGAAAGCTGAAACATAGAACTGTTATATAAACTAAGTCCACCAATTAATTATGGTCAAAATAGTAAATGGGGAAGTTTGGCCATACTATACCAAGAATACACAACCGAATTACAATGGGTTGAATATCAAATATTATGTCATCGCGCAAAGACAAAAGACACTTCTACGACACTTTGGCAAGCGAAGCAGAACAGATTTCTGGTAGGAGAGACCTGACAACATTGTATCCAATAACCAGGTTACTATCTGGGGAGAGATCAACGCAGACGAAACCAATGAAAGATAGTGAAGGAAACTTAGTTACCAAAGAGGAGAAACAAGAGAAACTATGGGCTGATCACTTCGGAAAACTCTTGAATCGACCACCACCACAACCAACGCCGACTGCAACTAGTCCACAAATACCACAATCAACTGCAGAACTACCAGCAAACACAGGCCCGCCGACAAAAGCGGACGTCCTGAATGCCGTAAAACTGCTGAAATCCAGGAAAGCAGCAGGACCAGATGGAATTCCTCCAGAAGCACTGAAAACAAACGCAGAGACATAAACAGTGGACATGCTCACACTACAGTTGCAGAACGTTTGCAAGGAAGGAAGCAAACATACCTGCTACCTTGTCAATCTCCCAAAGAAGAGCGAGGCTAAAGGATGCGCTGCATTCAAAACTACGACCGGAACAGGCTGGCTGGACTCAGGAAGTACAAATCATGTGCCGACCAAATTTCAACGCTACACTGGGCATCATCATAGAACAGAGTAAAGAATGGCAGTCAACTCTCTACCTCAATTTTATCGACTTTGAGAAGGCCTTCGACAACGTTGACCAAGTAGTAATTTGTCATTTACTTCAACACTACGGAGTGCCACTAGTCCTTATCAACCTCATTCAACAGCAATATGAAAACACCACGTGATTGTACAATCAGCTTAAAATATATTTCTAGCTGAAATAACTATTCTGAGAAATAACATTCCTATATTATTCGGGATAATGAATGATAGTAAAACGAGAACCTAGGTCACATGGAGTCCAAATTAACAGTCTCAAGATTGATGATTCAGTATTTTTAATTTGAATGGCAACGACTTGCGTACCATTGAATTGACATAGCTATATGAAGACGCCACATGCCAAGGGATCTACAATGGAAAGCTCAGCGACGCCTTTGATGTGAAGACAGGAGTGAGACAAGGCTGCTTACTATCATCCATGATCTTCCTGACTGTGGTCGACTGGATCATGCAACAAACAGTGAGGAGGGAGAAGATGGGCATACGCTGACTGGACCGATGAAGAGAGCCTAGAAGAATTGGATTTCGGCAACGATAATGATTTATGTCTAATGTCTTTTTGCACAAACTCGAAGATCTACAGGCAAAAACTAACAAGTTGATGGGAGAGGCAGAGAAGGAAGACTTGACTTCAAGTGAATGTGGAGAAGATGGAGGTGATGAAGATACCCAACCAACAACAACAAGCACCAATCACCATCAACGGGAGAAATCTAAAGGAAGTAGCCTCTTTCACCTACCCATGTTAGCAGCATCGTTTCAACTACAGGCGACACAGACACAGACGATAATGTCAAAACTAGGATCGGAAACACAGCAAGACCGGCTTTCATTAATCCGGAATCAGTGTGGAGATCTACTACACTGCACTCAGCACAAAGAACAAGATCCGGATTTTCAACATCAATGTCAAGTCAGTGCTGCTATATGGTTCAGGAACTTGGCGTATCATGGAAAGCATTTCCAACAAACCACAGTTATTCGTCAACAGCTGCCTACTCTGACTCGATACTGAAGATCGATCAGGTGGCCAGAATAATAAGAATCGGCAACAAGGAACTCTGGCCCGGCAACGAACCAACCAAGAACCTATCACACAACAGATGTTGAGGAGAAAGTGGAGATGGATTGGGCATACACTGAGAAGGTCGACTGGGGATATCACTTGCCAGGCCTGGTCGTCGAGTGGAATCCGAAGGGAAATGATGAGTTGGGCGTCAAGTCGAGGGTGACATGGGGGAGATCATGTGAAGAAGAAATGATAGGTTGTGGGCAGTCGTGGTGCGAGGTTCAAGAGACTGTGGAGAAGAGAGTGCAATGGAGGCGTGCTACTGAAGCCCTATGTTCCACTGGGAACCCAAGGGAAAAAGAATAATATAATATTTATATCATGTTTGATAAGACGCTATGATATATGTGAACCAACGTTATAAATGCTGACGGGTCGTGTTTATCATTTTCAGCTCCGCTTTTCATATATCTTTGGGTTTATCTAGGAATTTGTTGTCTGTGTTGATTCCATGGGTTCTGTAGCGTTTTTTGTTCTTGAGAGATCAATGTGATGCCTGTTTGTGTATGCAGCTTATCAGTTTTATTGTTAACTGACCGACTGACAAACTTTCTCATATTTTCAGATTAACTTCGATAGTCATACAAATGCTCTAGTTGGAAGTGTATATGTTTGAAAACACCGCGTTTACACTTTACTGAATGGTTTTTCTGAGAAGAGCAATAACCCTGTTCATGACAAAATGGATGCCATTTACTTTACCTTCACGGTTTATTTTACCAGCATATATCACATAATCATTAGAAGACGATTCGAACATTTGGGATGATTTGTATAGAATACCTAATAGAGACAACTATTCATCAAAAATCTGAAACAAACTGTTTAGTGGATCATCCATAAATTACCCACAAGAATTCTTTTCAGAAGCAATATTAATATATTTATGGTGCAAGCATCACCAAGCTTATATTATAATACGCAAGACTCACTACATCAACTTATGTGAAGCGTTCAACAAGGGATAAATATTTGTTAAATTATGAGTCAACAAACAATGGGTCATAATTGTAATTACTAAGAGAGTTAATAATACCTTATTTATCTGGCTAACCTGTCTCTTAATACTGAATTAATAAATCCTGAACAATAGCTTCGATAAACTTGAGTTCAAATGCTTCACTATGAGCTACTTGGTATGGAAATAAAGGTTTAATGTTATCCACTAAATAAGGATGTCGTAAAATATAACCAACACTGATTGGAATGATCGAGATTTTCTGAGGGTATTGAATATAAGGAAATACTCGAACTGTAAAGGAATAATGACTACTACCAATCAGTAGCTTATACTTCACTTAATAGTAAAAATAGGAGAAAACTAAGGCTGGTAAGTGGGTATAGAGATAAGATTAAACTTTCTTTTTCACTTGTATTTCAGTCGATTTCTTCAACTGATGTATTAACTTCTTGATTCTTTGTGTCGCCAAATTTTCAAACAACTTGCATTTCGCTGCTTAAAATGCTTAATTTTAGACTTATTATAGTTTCCGACCAATATTTCTTGGGGTAGTTTTAATGCGAACTGAATATCTACACAGAACTAGTTGCACTCTTTATCGTAAGATGAACGTTTTTATCTTTATCTTTTTACACTTAATCCCTATTTATCTTGGATTGTTGAAAGATGATGTAAAGCAGTGAAATAGAGCAAACCTATCACAATCGTGTATACCATGTTCTAGTGTTGGAGTTATTTGTCAAAAGCACTTGAAAAACTAAATCTCATGATCCAATTGCGCTGAAAAAGTCACTGGAATTTTTCAGTTGTAGCTGAATAATCGCTTTGTAATTGGCAGTCAAAAAGTAAGCCCAAGATGATTTCAAGGAACTTATTAAAGGCTATCAAGTCAAAAATTAAGAATCTACTGCTGCTATACAGTGTCAGATTCCTTGATTTCTGTTTGCAGATGGGCTGTAATGCGGAAGCCTCGATATTGTCGGGTATTCGTGATGTGACATTGGTCTTGGGGACCATCAGTGAAATCCAGGAAGCGTGTTTCGTTCTATTTGGGGCTCGTTGGCTGGATATACCTTCACCTCAGTGTGTTGTATTGTTGCCACTGAAGCAGTGTGCACCAGGCTTGAGTCTCAGTGGAAACAACATGACATAGTGGGTTGCAGGCAAATGCGACTGGCGAGTTCTAAGTAGGACGAAACCCGCGTCTGCTAGTCAATAAAGTGAGTAGCAAAGGTTCTCACAAAGGATAAACAGTTATAATATCTTGAGATTTTTAGAAATCTATTAGCATTCATCACTTTGAGAAACTGGTTAGACAAAGGCGGTCCTAAACATGTGTCACCATCTTTGCATGCTTTCACCCCTAGTGCATTTAGAGGCAGCACAGTTTCAAAATACTTTTAAAACTCCAGCTGTTTTTTGATCAGCGAAGCATTGACAATCATGACTTGATGGAAATTAGCGCAGAAAAATGTTCACTGAAGTTATTACTGATACGAAAATATGCCATCGACAGACAGATAAATTTGGTATCCATATTCCAAAAACCATTACTCAAATCCAGACAATCTATAAAGTCACTTTTTGTTCACAGGATTAAAGACTAACTTCGTGAACATCATTTTGTTTTGTCTAGTGAAAGTGTTCTGATATAAAATCATGTGATATGTTAGAAGGTGGTCAGATTTAAGTGACTTTCAATGGTATCCTAACAGTAGCTGAAATAACCGATCAGGTTTCCATGTTTCATCTGGAAAGTTAGTTTTTCATAAAACTGAGAGTCGTAATTGGTGACCTCAGAACTTGTTAGGGTGACCTTTAAAGTTTATTCCGAATTTATTTTATATCAAGGTCATTAGGCATACTCTACATTATTGATATTTACAATTTATCGCCAACTTTCAATATGATTCAGCATATTCAAGTATGTATACGGAATGAGCATTTGTCACCTTTTATTCGTTTTTTGATTACATCACAAAGATTACCATTATAGTAAAAATCTAGTGAGTACTCAATGTGACTAACCGGACTTTGTTCTCAAACTGTTGCGAAACACGATCTTTTGTGCTTAGAAGTACTGCAACATAGTCGAAATTGTTTACCTGTTAACTTTTACACCACAAAATAAAATACGTGCTGCAAAGTAATTTATTCTTCAAGTCTACAATCAGTTTTATCTAATAAGAAATTTACACCTCACTCGGTAGATGTGCTTATTTAGTAGCTAATCACTCTTAGTATTGTGAGTTCTAGACAATTGTAGATATCACGAATTCAACTGCGATTAAAATCCATAATTTATACATTTTTTGAGCTATTCACCAAACTTTCTTTAAAGATCCATTAAATTCATTATTTTTCAATCTTCAACAGTTAATTCTAAGTATCCAGAACATGAATATTCATGAATTAAACCAACCAAAATGCATATTTCTGCAATTCTCGAAGGGTTCTATTATATCAAATGCAATCTTATCATTCAATACAAAAATCAATTCATTGTTTACACCTGATATCCTGTCAAATATACTTATAGAAGGAAGCAAACAACTGATCAATGCAATTGCTAAAGATACGAAGTTCCACTTAGGGTTCAGTTTTCATGGAAATTTCTCACTAAAACGTAAGTAAGACAATCTTCTGACTTTTAACTCCTTTTCTCTGCTAGTTACTAATTGATGACATTTAAACTAATGAAATATACTACTAAACAGCATGAAAAGTTATAATGCACTTATGTTAATCTGTAAATGGGGTTAGGTAAATTAGGGTGATTTAAGCACCGTATGGTCGTTTGACGTGTTCAGGGGCTAGCTTGTCAGTCACTTACTTAAACGAACTCAACTAATGGAGCTGAATCATTCAGGGCACCTCGGTTTATTTTTGAAAAAAATGATCAATTCGAAATTGTCTACCGTTTGCACAGTCCACGCTGAGGTTCTTCGTGGTTGAATCGCTTTTCATCTGCTTAACTGTGGTACCAACAGGGTTTTAGGCATACCACTTCGTCTGAGTCGGCTAGAGAGATTCAGGTGATCTGAACGATTCGGCTTTGTGAACGTTACTTGTTCATTTATGAGCTTGACCCTTGCAGAGCAGTGTTTAGACCAGTCTATTATGGCTAACGAAATCTACAGATCGATGTGTTTTATATTTACTCTTATTGTTCAGTAATGTATTTCATTAGTTTATGACACTTTTGTGTCGGAGATTACATTTTGTAATTTCAGTTGGGTGGCTTATGTTGGAAATCCTGTTGTGACCACTATTGGATAGTTGAAAAGCTTCTCGACTATGAGAAATGTCAACGTAGACCGTAACACTTTTTTAAACAATTTGCAAATTGATCATCTTGTTTAGCATATAAATTGTTTGTGAACTCAGCTTTAGTTTACCGCTTGAAATCTTTAGGAAGCTTCTGCAACTAAAGCTAGATAACAGATACACAACTGTGAAATGATGCAAAACTATGCTCAATAGAGTTCCGCATTAAATGTTAAGATTAAGTAGCACGTTCTGCAAAGAAATCCTCAACACACACAATGTATTACAGTGTTGTGTCAATCATCTGAATGGCCAGATTATATACTTGATCGACAAGTTTCTATTAGCAACCGGGACGCGATAACCAAATCATTTCTCATCATCTGACCAATATATTTTTTTCGTTCAGCTTTCCAAAAATTAATCATGAAATATACTGCTAGTCATCTTAGTTTTCGTCCATTCATAATCAGTCTGTTAACTGGATATTACCATCTCACACCCTGTTTCACATAAGTTTCCTTGAGTTTTTCTTTTATCACTAGTGAGTAGTGCAGTTGAGCATACCTCAAGTGTTTAATCTAATGGTTCCATTCAGGAAAACTTGTTAACACGTTCCTAGTAGGTTAGTACCTGAAATTTTAGAAATCGACTGCTTACTGTCAAAATTTGCAAGTTTTTAATATCAACTAACAAGAGGATTCGCACACTGTGTGCTAAAAATTATTTGGACTTTATATGCACGCTTACTAGAGACAATGAGCTTAGTTTATACCTAATTAGCATTACAGGTTGGTATTCATCATGGACAGACATCATTTATTTATTTCGATAACGAAAAAAGAGATCATAACGGAACCACTTTTATATAGATCTGAAGACAAGTTTACTCTGTGCGCGATGTAAATGAAATCCAGTTTTGATATTTGTTTTAGTTACACTGGTCAATTCGTTCATCAGTTTCTTAGCTTGTAGTATGTTGGCTGATGATCTTTATCCTCCGCTTAGTTATTCAGCCAAAAATATTCTTTGTGATTGCAGTAAATTGCATATATTTGTTACAGAAAATAATAAGGAAGTGATTACTTCAATATGAATTCGCTTAGTATTTTCGTTAAATTTAGTTACCAAAATTGAAGAGGAAAGTACTGTTTCATCAACATTTGAACAACCGGTGACTATGACTACAAGGATAGCAAATGATGCCGAAGAAATCAGGACATACAGTGGGAGAGCAAGTGCCGAAATTCTACGAAGTGGTAAGTTTATGTGTTCTGTAACAATACATTCTACCGTCTCACTTAATTAAAAGTTAGTCAAATGGTTCTCGTAATCATTTTACTGTACCTGTTTTGAAACCATAAGACTTTCCTTTTATCCACTATAATTACATTCAATTCTGTAAAATATTCACAATAAATCTGACTGTCTCAGTCCTCGTGGTTCACTGTAGTCAACTGTATAGGATTCACAAAGTTCCTAGGACGGAAGAAATGAAATGTTTACTGAAATTAGCTTTTTAGGAAAAGTAAGAAGTGTAAAAATGTTTTGTCTTTATTTCTTACAGGAATTGCTACTGCCTCACAATGCATGTTCTGACATACGGTTGGTGGGTTTCATTAAACTCTGTTTGGCAACCATCAGCATGATGTATCTACAACTTTGAGGAGATTCATGAATTAGTTTAAGATTTGAGCTGCCTTTTCAAGTGGAGCAGTATTAAAATTACAGATGAAACTATTCAGTTGCATCATTTTGACACAAATAGACGTATATTATGAAATAATCCATTATGAAGTGATAACCGTTTGTAGAATACTCAAGGTTTATTTCCTGAATACTTAGCTGCATATCCAGGAGAAATAATCAGTTTGTTTTGCAGCATACTTCGCAGTGACCTTGTTCGAGATATCCATGGTAAACTGCATGCCATAATTACAAGCCAGTAAAGGTTTTATGACACAATTTCTTGACTAACCTAAAACGTTAACTGGGGATATGATTAGTACCACATATAATTCTGATGTCTTTAAACAGACTCACCAACCATGGCTCAGTCACACAATTTTTCCCTTCAATCTCCGTACAGTAGAAGTCAAAGTCTCATTCTCACTATCCTTGCATTCCTGCTATCTGAGTCCTGTATATATAGAATGACTTAATGGTCATTCTAGCAGCAACTGAAATAACCAGACAGTTTTATTAATTTTGGCTGGATAGGTTGATGTTGTTTTTCAAGACATGTTTAGTGGAAATTTGAGAATGTTTGGGATGCATTTTTCATGATTCATATGGACACTGTTGTTTTAAGACTAGACTTCATAGACGCTTTGTCTAACAATAAAGAGTTAAACGGCTGAGTGAGTTATCCACTTCATTTACTGGAGAAGGCGAATCAGCCTTGATGGGCCAGTGGCCGACAAAGCCTTTGCAGGGATACAAAAAGCTCTACTGACTTTTGTCAGCCTATGCCATTTATCGCGTCATCATGTATTTGATTGGCTATTAAATATCGACTTTACGGCCCACTAGTTTACTCTGTTCTTCTACATGGCTATGAAATGGCCATTAAAAGGCATCAAGTGTTCGACCGCGATTGCTTTTTTACCATGAGCCATATCGTGTTTTCACAATGTCAGTAACGCAGCAATCAGACGTAGAGTTCTAAGGAGAAGGATAAAGTCAGTTGACAAGGTTTTGAATTTTTATTGGTTTAGGAAGCTTCGATATTTGTTACGTACGCTGAGTAACTGTTTGCCTTTTCGAACAATGTCAGTTGAAATAAATTCAAGCTAGAAAGTGGTTACAGGCGACCAAACTTAAACATGGCATGAGTCTCTGAGGGCTTCGACTGTCCGTCGGAGCCGTATGGGTAGGTGTGGATATGCTGAGTAAGAGTCAGTGTGACAAGAAAAACGAGTGGTTCAAGACTTCACGTGACATGGCTCAGAACTGGTCTTATCCGCATCTTAATCGTCAAAGTGAATTTCTAAGTTTTATTGTTCTTCCATGTTATCTTAACACGTCTTTCTACCACTTTCTACTGTTTCCTTCTTTACTTCTTTATCTATCATCTTGGTGTGCTAATGTGAACTGTATAAAGTTGTCTGCCATGCAGTAATGCCAAGTTCTCCGTTGATACTTCTTGCCTCTCTGTCTGTTAACTTCACTGAAGGGGAGCCTTCAAAGTCACTAGTATAAATATATGTAAAAGTTATGCATATACAACGCCACATAATTTGCAGAGGCGAAACTACTCATTTTGTAGTTAGGAAGTGAAATAATAATGCACAATAATTTTGTTGAATAAACAAATATTTCGGGACGACGAGTTGTTCGAAAATGAATGAGAGGTAAATATATAGCTCTTCCGCCTAACTAAACAACAGTATTGAAGAAGTTTTGAATAAAATGTCCTTTACCATAAATAAAATGCTGTAACTCATCATGGTTTTCCGTTAGATGTCTTACTTTATTTATGATAAATGTATAAAAGCATTAACGGCTCTCAATCTTGGTAGCATTTGTATCGAAACGGAGAAACATTTGTTTTATTTCTAAATCCACTTGTTATTATGCCTTTGTTGTGGGTGATATGAAATAAGTCATGCATGCCTCCATACTCACTAACTAATAATTTGAAGTTTCTACTTTCCCATCTCATAAAACCTCTGTCACACTAGAATACTGATATGTTTTTTAATTTTGTTTTCGTTAAGAATCAAGGATAAACAGAAGTGATTTAGTGTAATGGGAGTCAGAATGTTAGGCGAACTGTTAGTAAGCAGGATTATAATCTGTCTACTTTTTACGATACGTGTTGGTAGCAAACATTTATTTATTTACTATTTAGTGTAATTTATTTACAACACGGACTCGGTTCATCATGAGCAGGATAAAATGTTTCAACCATGTTTATGAAAGTCTTATAAGTCTGATAATGTTCACATGAGCCAGGATCCGGAAGAATGTTACCTATTTCATGGAAGAACAGTCAGCAGTATTCACGTAATTATAGAAAATATTCTGTTATACCTCACTTTACTGCAATATTCTCTGCTATCATACCGTACTGTTGGTTCAGAATAAGTTATATAAATAAACAGACAGTCGAGTACTTGAGTCGATTACATCATAGGCTAAAAAGCTGTTTCGCTAGTTTATGTTAGAAATGAGGAATTCTGTCAATGAGCTTGAGAAATACGACAATTAAAACAAAATGAGTTACTCGAAGTGTGCTTATTTGCTTCGAAGAAGTAAACTTGTCTCAGGTGATTATAACAGTGGCGCCAACGTTCGTTAAAGAAACCACTTGGGACACAGATAAGCTTTGTCAAATGGCTGACCTGGAAACTTAATTATTTATATTTGCGTGAAAGGTTCGTTTTCAAAACATTTTCTTGGCGTTTACAAACAATGATTATTATTCTGTGCATAATTTGGACTAGTTACCTCATAACCGACCTATATTTCTGAATGTTTCTATGCAGTGGAAGCATGTAAACATCATACTCTGTATTTATTTAGGTATGAATGTGTAGCGATGCAAGGACGGAAGCATTGTGACATCAAACAACTAGCTGCTTAATTCATAACGACTGTTTAATTACTGTATTAGTAAAATTATGTAGTTCAAAACTATCAGAATGCGGATTTAGTTTTAGTGGAACAACTTAATTACCACATATGTTGTCTGTTTATCCGACCAGTGATTTGCTAACCATAGTTAATTGAGCTGCTAAGTGTCTGGCTGTTCTTGCTGTTTCAGGAACAGAAACCCATATGTTTAGTGTATTTATTTACCGGTTTATTATAACTCTAATTTACGTCAGAATCGTTGCTTGGAGCTGGTTTATTTAGCTTAATTCCACTCACTGGCTTACGGTTTTGAACTTTACCTCATCTATTGAGGTTCAGATAACTGGGTTGAATCATCAATCCTTACACAATAAGTGTGGCTTATCATCATCCAGCGCACATAATTGCACCCGATAGCTAAGTAACATCGTTACTGTACATTGTTACCTGTACATTCCAGATTTTCATGACAGAGTAGCTAAGGACTATCTATGCAATTATTTTTCACAGGATAAACGGATATTACGTTAAAATAGTCATTTTTTGCCATATACTTTCAATGACCTGTGGCATCTATCTGCCTTGATTAGTCGATGTAATATCATTAGGAAAACCACCAAATGATCAATACTTCCTAACTAAGAATATTTCATTACTTTCACACATATTTTGCAATCTCTGACCAGAAAAGCGAAGTCACATTGAATTATTACCAAATATTTCGTTTGCATATTTTTGCTAAGCATTATAATCATTGAAGAACCTCTATATGAATCGTGGTCAAGATTTCAATAGATGGTTTCACAAATAGTGGACACCAAGTGACTGAATTTAAAACACACTGAGATTTATACAAACAACTTATAATTAAGAACCTCACCAGTGGTTAACAATAATATATTTACCTTATAACTAATCATGATTACGTTTGCAGCATAGAATTTTCAGCATGCGATATTGCATCGGTTTACCCGTTGTACAGTATTTTTCAAATATATATTAACAGTGGTGCTGTTTGGCAATACATATTGAAGAACAACACGATTGTTGAAATTTTTAATGACTGGAGGGAGATGATAACCGTTATCTATTACAAAGTTGATTGATAAGACCATTTCTAACATGATTATCTCCACATAATTCACAAGTTAACTAAGGGTATGATTGAATTTTCGTATGCAATTGTGCATGCTTAGAATTTAGTATATTTGCTTCTTGTCTTCCTAGAGGACAGCTGTGAAGAGAGATGCGATACAAAGGATGATTGTCATCATATAACATATTTTTTATCAGCTGTCTACACGAGTTCAAACGTTTATCTACGACCATATTTATCAGTACGGTTGTTGTGTACCGTGTACCACTTGCTCTACTAACACTAATACAGAGTAGTTTTCCTTCTGGAGTGCAGAAAGGAATACGAGGAAAAATAAGTAAGTATAGGCAAAACACAGGTATTATTGAAACTTAGAAGGGGAGGTTGAGTTATGCCAGACATTCTGAATTTCCTTATATAAAAAGTCAGGCGATGACGTTTTCTGGAAATCAGTAAGATATGAGAAAAGCATAGGCCAAGATGTATCACGCTTGTTACATTTTCTACAACAGAGCAAACTATAAGGCAAGAGTCACGGGAATGAAGCAATTTAAAAAGGTCTTGTTCACTTCTTAGGCTGAAATTAACCATCTCAATTTCGGGGGATGGAGTATGAGGCCATTTAGAGAAGATCAGTGACCAGTTTTGGTTAAGAAATTATTAAACTGAGAATAATCCAAAGAGAAGATGATCGGTATGGATATTGTCAGTTCATCTGCTAACTTGACTAGGTTAGCTCGGGTTGAGATTGGTAAGTCACGCAGAAAGAAAGAGGAAAGGATAGGAGAAAGAACAACACCTTAAGGCACATGGGATTTACTAAGCAGTAAGGTAGAGCGCTTCCCCCTAAATATAGCGTACTTTCTTCACTCAAAAAAATAAGAATCAAGCCAGGTTTACAATCCAGGACTCAATGTGACTTCTGGAAAGCTTGTTTAACAAAAGAGGTCTAGAGACAGAGTCTAAGGCAGAAATATGGTTTAAGAAGGCAGATCTAACATATTAAATACCTTAGTCTAGACTAGTAATGATATCATAATGTAAAATCCCTTCTGCAGCTAAGGTACTCTTCCTAGATTTGTAGGCAAATTGATTTGGATCTTTGAAAGCCTCCAAAGGAGATTCAGGCACACGAAGCAACAGTTTTTCCAATGTTTTTAAGAATATTTGGTATGCCATCTGGTCCGACGCTTCGCGAAGGTTATTATGATTTTCAGCATTTGCACACGTGTTTCATTGAATTTAGGAAAGCTGCCTTCTGTTATGTGTGAAGAACTAGTTAAGATACCATTAGCAGGTTTACATATGAGTGACTCATTCAAAGCACGAAAGTTTTCATAGGTTTCACTTCTGAATTTTCTATTGCTAGTAAGATCATTGAAAAATCTTCACATGCCAGAACGGTTTTTACAAGACATAATCTCATGGTTATAAATTAAGTTTAAACGTTTTACTTCAGACTTAATCAGGCAGTTCAGTCATTCCACAAAAGTATTACCCTTCGATATGTACAGTTTTTCTTTTTCTATTCACACTATTTCCAATTACGGGGAAGAAATTCTATTAAAAATCAAAGAAATTATTTAAGCTGGGTAGCAAATATCAAAGCAGAATTTAAGGTGTCATGTAATAGCATCAATTGTATCGGAATGTTTGAAAGTGACTTACTGCCTAAGTGTTTCGTAAACTGAATACTGCTTGTGTTTGTTAGATAATTTAATCATTAAATTCTCTTTTCATTTCACAAATTATTCCCCGTACAAACCTAGAAGAGGATTCACAAAACTCAACTATTAACAACGTCGTGACATATCCTGTACGTACGAAAGACACTCAGGTTCTAGGTAAGTTTTCCACCTGACTAGTTAACAATAATTTCATATTGCAACTGCTTCTGTTTTCACGTATACTGAATAATATATCATCTGTATAGCAATCTAGTGTACTATAGGTATTAAATACTCCTTATATACCGCAAATGCTTTTTAAAACTTTGCTATTTTGTGATTTGATTGTCGGTGGCTAACACTGGAATCCAGGACCTGCGTTTCGTCTTATTCATGACCAGTTGGCTGGATGTATCTGTACCTCGAAGAGTGATGGTGTTTCCACTGACACTCAAACCCAGTATCTGTCACTTCAAACGCTGAGCTCAAGTCTCGATGGTAAAACCGTCACTCACTGAGATCCAGGTACATCCAGCTAACGGTTCCTCAACAGGACAAAACCCGCTTCCTGAATTCTACTGTCAGCCCCCACCAAACAGATTGCAGCATAATAAATAACCAAACAGTATCAAGGCAACTGATTAGGAATCTATATACTAACAGAATTTAATCAGTTCGATCCAGAATAAAAACGGGAATTTCGCTATTTTGTTAATTCTATGCAGAAAAGATATTACTCATGGAGTTATGTTCTTCGTTGCATTATACAGCATTGCTTTCTGACTGATGAAATGGTAAGATAGTAACAAGACATTTGGTTAAGAACCTACATTTATCAACAACAGTAATTTGTACTAGACGTGAATTAGGTTTAAAACAGTCATTGAACTCATTAGTTCCTACCATTCGATAAACTCCTTATACTATTAGATATTTGAGCTATTACTGTTGTTTGAGATTATTTTTTCCTAATTTATGAATGCATGACTGCTGTTACGAAGCGACGAGGATACGTTCGAACAGTTAATCCTGATTTTATGAGGAAATTTGAAATTCAGCCATCACATTGGTAGTAAATTTCAGTTTTTTCCTTCCTTTCCCTGCTGGAAGAGATAAATTAGTGTAAGGTGGCTTGTAGTTTATCACTACAGCTTAAAAGGTTATCCATCATCCTCCAAAAATCATCAACTGTTCACGTCCAACTCTAGAGGAAGAATGTATCCCTATTTATTTTATGATTGTGTAGATTTATCCCCAAGGTTTTCATCCCGATAAATTCACACACGGATAGCCTTTCAATCCATCTCTGTCTAAATAAATAAGGCACTAAGAATTACGCTGTGTGTAACATATTGAATAACTTACATATTTGCTTAAAACCGTCGTAATTAAATTTCAATTTTGTGGTGGTAGAATTCGTACCCCCAGTATCTGAAATGGAACCATGCCGCAATCCAGATTAATCTTTATCATGCCAAGAAATGTAGACTTCCATTCAAGTGAAGTCTTTGGTTTAAACTGAACCTATGGTTGGAGGTTGTTGATGATATGGTTCAGAATTGATCACATCAATCTAAATTCATCCACATCTTATCTTGGTCATAACCATTACATCACACTTCCAACTGGCTTTCTACTATCACTAATCATTTTGTATCTATATTATTACCTATTATACTTATGTGGTGATTCGATGTGTAGCAACATTAATGTTTATAGTGGTGCCAGATCATGAGTGAATTTTATCTGAGTGTGTGATAGACCTCAAGGTATCCTTTATTACGAGTCTTAGAGAAGTACTGAACCAACGCAAATCCTAATCTAAAAATGTGAGTAATACATCGGTGTACGCTGCAAGCCTTTTTGAAAATGTAATAAATTTGGTCATAAGTATATGTGAACAGGTGTGAATAACCCAGAAATCAGATTTGAATATAAAGTGTTGACATGAGTATAAAGGTAAACATGGATGATATGCACCTTGAAATCATATTCGTAGATGTGGTAGAAGTAAACAGCAATGAAATGGTAAGTGCAAGTACGGAAGAACAGATAACACTGTTTCATACGATAGTAGGTAACGTCGTAGTCTGGCGTTAACTGCTAATATGTGACGTTTGTAACTTAACAGTAAAGCTAACTAACGTGTGATGATGTTACGCTTTATTTGATATTTCGTAGTTGAAAGAGGGAATGAATAGTGCTATCAAGAACAGAGCTTTGGTTAAAAGCGTTCTAAAGATTAACTCCATATCAACTGTTGCAAAGTCATGAGGTATGTTTGGTCACTTAGGTATGAGATCCTTGCTGGAAGATGGTTGATAGAACTCAATCATTACCTGAAAAGAAATGATGATCGACTGAATAATTCTCAGTATGAGAATGTTGCATCGAATCCCGTCTTAAGTCAGTTGTTGTGCTAACAGCACAGTGGTGCCGCCTTTGGCTCAACTCTGAGTGAAGAAAAACAGACTTCACGTAGATATCTACCAAGAAGCATGAAACCTGCGTTCAGAGTCTCTTTCCAGAAAAGCGAAATCAAAATAGGACTCAATCATGTCAAATGGTTAAAAGTCTCTCGCTGTGGGTGTTTCGTAGCAGTTACTAGATTCAATCATTCAACCTTCCTCCAAAATTGATCTCATTCAATAAAACTGTAGTAAATACTAGTTATCCATTAGTTCCTCAAACATTTTGAAAAATTGAGTTCGTAACTATTTGAAAAGTTTGAGAAAATGGTAACCTTCAAAACTGGAACTATCCTTCAGGCTTTTAATTGTGACAGCAAAATGGTATGGAATAAGTCTTGTGGCCTGAATGCTTAAAAGAGTATTTCTTTTCTCCAAACAGATTAGTCTAAGCTTTCAGTAAGTTATGACTATTATGATGTTGCAAAATTATCTCAGTTTGTTAGGGTAACTTGTGTATATTTATATATCACTGTTATGCCCGCGATTTTGTGATTACTGATGACGTAGTTTTGTTTTTCATAGCGTTAGGTTTCCAACTTGCCAAAGAAGGCGAACCATTACAATGGGATGACAGTTTAGATGATGTGAACTCTGAACTCTATCAAAATATGTCTAGGAATGTTTGTAATTTGGTAAGTTGAACAGATGCATGCGCGTACAAATTCCATAATGTTATTTGACTCACTGATCTTTTAGAAAAGATAGTGTATTTAGGAGGCATGCAATTGTCCGTATGGATACTTTTATATATTGCGAGGAACTTCTGAAACTAAATTAAACTGAACAACAAATAACTGCTTGATCTCGTTTTTTCGCGACTGGTTCACATGCCTGTTGGTAATTTAACGAACATGGGTTCAAAGGATATTGCCACTTAGACATTTTCAACACCAATCTTCAAGGGTGATAAATAATCCTGGGCTATTCCGAATTGATATTTTTCAATTCCACCCTTTAGTATTTTTTTCCAACGGTATTTTCAGCATCCAATAAAAGGTTTGAAAAATTGTATATGAGAGGAGTACACAAACGTGCACCACTGTAAGCAATTTTAAATCGTGTCATCAAATGACTTCTGTCACCGATTTCTATCATTTTGGGGGCTCCAACATAGTTGGCCACACTTCCATTTTTGGTTAAACCAACAGGTTCAGACTATATAGACTGATACTACACGTTAGTCTGATAATTGAAATGTGCCTGCAACCCATACGAAGTACAGGTAGAACACGCCAGCCATCCTTGATAGTAATTAGTTCGCAGGTTGATATGTGCTTAACATCGGGAACTACAAGAAGGTTCACCATCTGTAACCATATTATACCGCAACCACTCAATCGGGTATCTGAGCAGCAGTAACACTAGCCAATTAGATGACACAAGTGTCATAGCTATTCTAATCCTACTTTACCTAATATCATAAACCAATGTAGATGGCTTTATCTGCGCACGTCACCCAATTAACCTTGGTTAGTATGAATTCACAACTTAATTAACCGACTGATCTTAATTTACCGGTATTGTGCATCTAACGCCGATATCAGCAATACACTAGTATCATTCTATGCAAGTATAGCTACCATAACATACATGTGGCCAAAACTCTGTGAACTCGTCATGTGTTCTACTGTCCACCATAATGTCATATTGTCACACAACAAGAATGGGGTGATTTATTGTGGAGTAGAGTCAGTGGTTGGCAGTCATCCAAATACCCTGTTGTTACCATAAGCTCTGTTATATGAGACTGTATCAGCTATCGGATGATTAAGAATGATGCAACTTACCAAACAGATCAAGTCATCAAAATGTTTTATTATTTCGCTCTATTTCAGTTAACTGGAAGCCGGCGCAAACTAGTTTTAAAAGTTCATATAATATTAGACATTTGCAAAATGCCAGTAGAACAATCGCCTTTTTACCTAAGGTATTGAGTAGACTCAGAATCTGTCAGCATCTCCACCTCATAAGGTTATATAGTCTTTAAATTCCGAACCAGGCGACTAGTGTGTAGGAAATAAGATACTCTTTGGGAAGTGAGATATGTAGAGGGTGGTTTCAGTCAGGACGTTTGTGCCAATGCGAAGTGATAGTGGTGACGGTGAATGGTGTTTGAGAACACTAGTAGTTGTCCTTACTTGAGAATAGCAACTCCCCACAAGCTTGAATAAAAATGTTTGAACGATGTTATATACTTGCACCATACCGCTTTAAAAACCAGACACTCTCTCAACTCTTTTCGTTTGTTCAAACCAAATGCCTCTTTCAGTTCAATACAGATGACATGTGTCGGCTACCGGTAAGCAAATCTGTGTTATGCAACCTCTTTAAGAGTTTATATTTGATAAACGCATCTTCATCCAGGCTTGAAAGCTGTCTGATTTTCATGAGTTTGTTGTTCTAGAGCTTCAAGTATGATTAGATATCGATAAACCTTACGATCCTTGACACCATGATATTGATACCACGATAGATATTTGGAGTTGAAATTGTGAATCAACAATTAAAGTGGTACTCGGACTGATGTCAATAGCTTAATGTAGAAAAGCTAAAACTCAGAAGACAATAAAATTAGTGAATTATCGGTATACATAAATGTTATGATTGCCTGACTCGTGAATGAAATCGAGCTTCTGATACTAATGTAATACTTTGATTACACAACAGCAGTTATTCTGGATCGCTTTATTGCAATCATCATTTTACAGTGAAAATATGTGATTGACAGACTTATTTTTGTCATTCAAAATGTCTAGTTTGCATCATCTTTTTTCTGAGGTTTTACAGCCTATTATAACACTATTTGCATACACTCAAGTACATATCTCCATACTTAGACGAAAGAAAACTCACATACTATCTGATCATACACTCGTAAACCGATTTAGTGAACACATTTTCGCATGCTTTAGACATAATTTTTAACGCATAGTGAAAAATGATGAGAATGACAGAGATAATACTCTCTTTATAATAAATAGGTCCAATCAAGTTTAAATGTTTCAAGTTTGGAAGGTTGGCGTATAGAATGTCTATCAGTAGACTTTATTCAGGGTTCAGTACTAGCTAACGTTACTTTATTATTCGAAAACGACAACAATTCAACTTACACATATGGGACAGTTTCAACGCTAACAGAAATTGTAGCTGAAGCTATCATCAGTTATGCAAACAACACTAACGGTACAAGTGAATTCGGTATTGCTTCAACAAGCAGCATTATAGTAGGTGAGTTAACTCTTCATCTTAGATTATTTATTTTTCCGAAGATATTATGAATAGAGCATATTATTCTCAACAAATTTTCTCTGATTTCATTTAGTAAGTGGAACTGTTCATCTTTAAGGTTGCACTGAAGGGTGGTCTGCTCACAATCTCAAACTACCATTCTATCTTGTAAAAATTGCACTCACTACAAACCTGGTTTGTATTAAAATGCACGATTTCAGTTTACAACTGTAGAATCTGAAGAGGATTAATTTTTAAAAAATTATTCGTTGCTCATTTTTTTGTTCCTCTTTTAATTAGTGAAACTGTTTTGAAAAAAGTAAACTTTTTAAAGCACTAAACTTCTATGTCTATTGGTTGACAATTAAGCCACTTCACTCTCAACGATGAATGAAGTTAGAGAAACAGTGAAAATAATCTCAAATGGCGAAAAGAATGACACTAACACTCACTACAGTAGGCGCCTATTACGCTTGTTAATTATTAATGGTCATGATATATGTCTGTGAACAGTAAATTGAATCATACGCTACCGCAGTTGACAAGTTTTACTCTTGCTCTAATCAGTCTAGTGATATTTTATAACTCTGGGAACAAGTGTTACCAAGTGATTGATTAAGTTGTGAAAATATCATAACTTATATTGGTTGATGCAAGGTGATTGGAGACAGTCGAAAGGAAGCCTTTAACCTAGATTCCATGCTTGTAAACAGTTGCCAGTAAGGCATATCTGAAAACTTGAGGGAAGCAATATCCTCTGAGAGACCTGCAATTATGTTACTTATAGATGCAGCGACATCAGTTACTTTTGAGCCATTCGAAGAACAATTCACCTCATCTAAGATTGGATTAGAAACATTTATTGACCACTGAAGAGTAACCAGGTGGTATCTCAATTCTGATAGTCATTTCAAGATTCTGGAGAACGAGGACAATGTGAGGATTATACCGGAATAATTTATTTGTGACTACTTAGCGATTACTTTCACCACTGAGACAGAAACGGACGATAGCTTCATCTTCTTAGATATCTGACTGATAAGGAAGATGGACGGAATTATACAAAGCAAGATATATCTGAAACGAACATCAACCAGCCAACACACACATTCTTGAGCTTCTTTTCCCTGAAATATAAAAGAAGTTTAGTTAAATGTTCGGTTCGTTGGGCAATGACTTATCTACTCAGATGATACTTTTGATGAAGAACTCCAAATTAATTGTAATCTACTCAGTATTAATGGGTGTCCAGAAAAGTCCTCGAATCCAATTCATAAACCAAAGTATCGATACCCTCCAAATAAACACCGTTATTAAGATTACAGTTTCAGAGTGACATCATCAGCGAAAGTGTGACACAGAACCTGAGGAGTTATTTAAGAAGACAATCTAATGCAACAAAGTTATGATGTACATTCTAAAGTCGTTCAACATTAGCTTCGCTGTTTAAAAAATGGCTACCTAACTTAACCAACTCAATGGCTCCCGTGGATGTACAGTTGGGTAAACCCGTCATCGAACTGTTGAATACCAATCGTCATGGCCAAGTAAACGATAAAGAAGTTCAGTGCTCTGTCATTTGGTTAAAAACTGGTCATTATTATTGTTTTTTATTATTCCAGTACTAGCCACCTTAACCTCTTTCGGTTGTATCCAATTATCATCAACAATCACTTAGTCACTCTTCTTGCTAGTGAATATTAAACAAATTATCAAATTTTCGACAACCTTAGACATAAGTGTTTTTGCATAAATCCCAGAATGTTTGACTTAAGGAATCCTAGCGTTTTTCAGGGAAATTTGGTTAGAGCTTCTTAAGTATGATCATAACAGTAATCATAATGGGAAACAACTATAGTCCAGACACCACTGGACATTGAGATGAACTAAATGAGTTTTGGCCTGTTGTATAAATCTATGATAATGTAGATTTCTATTATTCTTCGTGAAGAAGCTTGGACTAGAATTATATGCATATCATTGAGATTTCTTATTTCAAACACGCTGATATTTTTACAAATACAACATATCTAATGTCAACTTTTCACTCACCACCGAATACTTGTTAAACTATGCGGTGGAATATTGATCAAGGTTCATATAAATGATAACAGTTTGTAAGGTGAACAAGTGTAGATAAGTCATACGGGTGACCAAGGTAGAGAAAGATGCAAAACTTTTATGTTTAAAAGAAATTCGTACCACTGGCTCCAGTCTACATAAGCAGAAACCTTTTCCGCTTGGAATTTAACTATGCGACACTTTATGTGTTAATTTATAATATTCACCGTAATACAAAGAAGCAAACTAGTGAAGAAAGGGGTTTTAAGCAATGATATCATGTATCACTCCAACATATTCAAGTCTTTCATTTTTTAGCCAGGGGAAAAATGGATTTGGAAGTGTAGAGAGCGCGAGCTTGTTATATAGCTGTTAATCATAGATAGATACAGTCTCATCAACACATCCTTCTAATTAATTTCTGATTGTACGTTAATGAACAGTGAGTGAGATCTGTAGTTTTAATTTCATTGTAGGTCCCGTTGTTGCTTTTTCGTAGTTGTTTTATGCGTTTTTCATTAACGCCCTTTTTTTTGATTGCATCTGTCATACCACTTTTGCGATCATACACTTTTATTAATTCATCCATATTTGACTTATCTTCTGAAGAACTCTTTTTTATTCATCGTAACCACACCAAAGTAGTCATCAAAGAATTACCACTAGTGTCTTTTTTCAATTCCATTAAAATAGTTGAAAACATTCGTAACACTTAGAAGTTATTGGTGGATGGTGGCTAGTGGTGGAATTCGGGACATGTTCTACATCCTACTTGAGGCTAAGTGGTCGGCTGGATGCACCTGCCTCTCAGTAAGCGGTGTGATTCCTACTAAGACTCGAACCTGTGGCCGATCTGTTCAAATGCCAGAGGGTTATCCGCTAGGTCACTTTCTAGGGGACCGGTACGGTTTTTATATATATATATATATATATATATATATATATATATATATATATATATAATATCGAGGCATCCTCGCAAAAGCCTACATGCCAACAGAGACCGACCATTTTGATCCACTCAACGGCAGAACAATACAACATCGTATTCATGACATCATGTGGAATTCCAGTTGAACAGAGTAGTTAGGTGCTGTTTGATAATATCTACGTTTTTAAGTTTACACAAAGCTGAGCACTAAAAATCACTGGTTTGCAAATCCTACTGTAAACGGAAAGTCTCATAAATCAGTGTGGATTGTTGTCATGTATTGATCTTAGACAATATTATCTACCTTACACAAGCCTACTTTTATTATTCATACCGTAACTAACCAGTAACGATACGATCACCGTTGGACATCGAGAAAGGAATTTACGTTGGCGTTCTATCTACCAGTGTTCTTTTTATCACCGTACTAGGAATCTTACAAGTTATTCACTTGAGTAAACATTATAACTGAAATATATTTTTTGAATGTCGGACTAAATTATATTATAGTACAATTAATGAGAACACCTACTAAATCCTAATGATTCTAATCTGTCTTCTATTCAACTGCACACGCTGAGTAACTGTTGTCATAACTATGAATATCTTTTCGAAGTAGGTGGTAGTATTAACTTGGATATTCGTGATATGCGACTTATTTATTAGTTAAACTTTAATACAATTTAATCATTATACTTTTATTTCATTATCTTGCCATATTTTAGTACTCATGAATATTGACGAACAGACAACAGTTACAGAACCGCAAACGTTTTATTCTACAGATGCTTATGGTGAAACTGAACTTCTTACACAGTCTAATTTAAGTACAGATTATGCTAGTCAACTGACAGCACAAACTGATCTCTTTGCTAGTTCAGAAGTAGTATCATTTTCATCATTAACAAATGAAACAGATCAGTATAATACATTGATGACAACTTCACGTAAGTTATTTGATAGTATGGGGATTAAAATACTTATTTTTTGGACATTAAATCATTCACTTTCGTTTAGCTATCCGTTCCAATCAATGAAAGCAATGTGTACGTGTTTCTACGGTGTGGTTGTGATTTTGTTTGGTATATTATTAGCTATTGGCTGTTCTTTTACTGTAGCCTAGCAATTTTCATTGTGATATCAAAAATAAGATATTCAGCGAACAGGATTATTTCTAACAAATTTATTCTCAAGTTGTGCATTACTGTTAAATAATAAATAGAAAAAAAAATAACAATAGTGATAGGTTCAATCATAGTATTTCGAGAACTAAGTGTTGAACAACGACAAAATAGGGTTATGTAAGATTCTTAAACTGTTCATAGGAACCATTCACCTGGTAAAGAGATGAAAAGCGGTAGACGGAATAGGTAAAGAACGAATTAATTAGTATGAATGAGACAAGCTAATTAAGATAAATGAAATAGATTTTTCCTTATAAGGGTATAGTTAATATGGAGAAGCCACTATATGTAAAAACAATAATGATAATTCTGTTAAAGGGTGCAAAGGTAAATCTAGCAAGAGAAAGAAATTCAAAAAGCAACGACATGAAATGAAGTTAAGTCAAAAACTAGGCTCACTTCTTCTCCATTTAAAACTCAGGGTCCAGTCCAAGAATATCCACGACCTCTGCTGCTTTTTAGGAGTGAAAAACAAAGAAAACTTGGATCCAATTTTGAGGCTTTGTGGGGACTTACTTATTAATTTCAAGTTGGAATTCATCATGGACTGACACCAGTTGGAAAAGCAATGAAAGCTTAGGAGCACAGGGTAGCTGTTTCGTCCCCTTTTAGGACTTCTCAGCAGTGAGCACCTATATTACGATGAAACATTTGGCCAGTGCTCCCAGGTTTCCAAAGTTACTCTAACTGATGTCAGTCCATGATGAATCCAAACTTTAAATAAATTAGTAAATCCTCACAAAACCTCCAAAGTGAATTAATCTAGTGCTTATTGGTGACCAACTTCGAGAGGGGATTCTTGAATTTTCAATGAGAAGTCGTGACCAGTGGGCCAACCAAGTCAAGCATGAGAACAGTTAGTCAACAGCACCATTGGATGGTGGTCGCGCTGTGTCGTGGACTGACAAGAGTAAAAAATATAGATCATGGTGACTTACTGGCTATAGAACATACTGGTATTGAGTTCGACCTCTTATGGGGGTCGTGAGTGCTCACTACTGTGGAGACGCACACTAGAGCGAACCAGTGTTCCCAGATTTCCAGTGTTCCTTCAACTTGTATCAGTTCATGATGAACACCAACCTGAAAACGTGAAGTACTTGAGAAAAGTCGATAAACAAGCGCGTATTATATTCGTTTCGGAATCTATATATATATATATATATAAGAGAGAGAGAGAGAGAGGAGAGGAGGATGGTGAAGCAGAAGATAAACCAGTGCAGTGCAAGGGTGAACGACGAGAAGAGGAACTGAGTACAATGTTTAAAACACTACACTGGACAACACGGATTAAACCAATGAAAGATAGTGAGAGAAACTTGGTTACTTCTAAACAGGAGAAACAAAGGAAACAATGGGCTGACCACTTCAAAAAGCTCTTGAATAGACCACCATCACCACCTGCACTTCATCCAGAAATACCACCTGCAGTTCAGCCACAGAACTACAAGTGAACATAAATCCTACAACGAAAGTCGAAGTCCTGAACTCCATAAAGCTACTGAAATGCGAGAAAGCAACAGGACCAGATGGAATTCCACCAGAAGCACTGAAAACAGATGCAGAGACAACGGCGGACGTGCTCAAGCCACACCACTATTGCAGAAGGTGTGGAAGGAAGGAAAGGTACCTGCCTATTGATAGGAAGAAGGGTTACCTTGTGAAACTGCCGAAGAAGGGAGACCTCAGTGTTTCCAAGGACTGGTGCGGAATCACTCTCCTGCCCACCCAGAGCAAGCAAAATATTAAGCCGCATCATCCTGGAGAGGCTGAAGGATGCGCTGCATTCAAAACTGTGACCGGAACAGGCTGGCTGGATTCAGGAAGTACAAATCATGTGCAGACCGAATTGCAACGCTCCACTGGGCATCATCATAGAACAGAGTGTAGAATGTCAGTCAACTGGATCTCGACCTCAACTTTATCGACTTTGAGAAGGCCTTTGACAGCGTCGACAGAGAGGTAATTTGGAAACTGCTTCACTACTACGGAATGCCACAAACCTTTATCAACCTCATTCAACAACTATATGAAGACGCATGCCACATGCCAAGTAATTCACAATGGGAAGCTCAGTGATGCTTTTGCAGTGAAGTGAAGACAGGAGTGAAACAAGGCTGTCTACTATCACCCATGATATTCCTGATTGTGGTCGACTGAATCATGCAACAAACAGTAAGGAGCAAGAAAAGGGCTTTACGCTGGACCGGGGTAAGTTCCTAGAAGATCTGGATTTCGCCGATAACTTATGTCTAATGTCACACAAACTTGAAGATCTACAGACGAAAACTAACGAGTTGGCAGAAGAGGCATGGCAGCGAAGACGGGACTTCAAGTGAATATAGAGAAGACAGAGGTGATGAAGATACCCGAAAAACACCACCATCAACAACAACAACAACAAGCTCCAATCACCATCGACGGGAGAAACTTAAAGGAAGTAGTCTCTTTCACCTATCTAGGCAGCACTGTTTCAACTACAGGCGGCGGTGGCACAGACGAGGATGTCAAAGTCAGGATCGGAAAGACAGCAAGACAGACGTTCATTAACCTGAAACCAGTGTGGAGATCTACTGCACCAAGCATGTGGGACAAGATCCGGATTTTCAACACCAATGTCAAGTCAGTGCTTCTGTATGGCTCAGAGACCTGGCGCATTACGAAAGGGATTTCCAACAAGCTACAGACACTCATCAACAACTGCCGCCTACACTGGCTCGATACTGAAGACCAGATGGATTGCCAGAAAGAATAAGCAATAAGGAGCTCTGGACTGGCAACGAACCAACCAAGAAACTATCACTGAACAAATATGCAGAAGGAAGTGGAGATAGATTTGATTGGACAAACACTGAGAAGGCTGACTGGGGACATCACGCGCCAGGCCAGGCACTCGAGTGGAACCCCCACGGGAAGCGACGAGTTGGGCGTGTGGGGCGAGGGTGACATGGAGGAGATCGTGTGAGGAGGAAATGAGAGCTTGTGGGCTGTTGTAGAGCCAGGTCCAAAAGTTTGCAGAGAAGAGAGTGTAATGGAGGCGTGCTAGTGAAGCCCTATCTTCCATTAAGAACCCAAGGGACCAATAATAATAATAGCGACGTTACTACTGGGGTATGGTAACTGTAGGTGAGATGTCTAACAGGGAAGTATAAGGTTGAGTCAAATTCGTGATACTAATGGCAGTAAAAATAAAGTCATTTCGAAGGTGACGGTGTTATAATGATGTGAAATTAGTTGGTTGTTTTAGCTTAGCCCGTATCTCAACCAGGTAAATGCAAGTCGTGTGTTGCTGGATAGCTGTACAACCTCCTCCTAAAGTTGCCAATAGACATAGCAGTAGCAATTCAGGTTTCAATGCCCGCAAACTCATAGAGAGAAAAACTGTTAACACGCATGGATTTTGTCCTTCTATGGGCGATTCTATTTGCGTTTCCAAGAGGATTACCACAGTGACCATTCGGTAAGACTCCACTACTCGGGTGACTTGGATTACTAAGTATTTTGTTAGCCGTTATCAAGTGGCCACATAACCTTCGGTAACTAAGTGGATAAAACCCTGCATCCTTCATTTTGTCCCGATAGAGTATGTGCCATATTTCAGCAATAATCTTCGTAGCTCACCCCTGGAATTCCTCGAGGAGATCCACATCTCTTTTCAGGTATAGTGGTGCAGTGACGTTATGGACCTCTAAGTGAGGTTGTATTTAAGTCTTCCAGAGCACTAGAAAGAGTTCCGGGGTGAGAACAGCTAGCTGTCTGTGCATGAAGTATAGTACTGCACAGGCGTCTTCTGGATTATTGGAATTGTCGTCTATCTTTTCAGTGAGTAGTAACCCCTCGTGTTCCTCATGGTCGTGTGAGAAAGGTGAGTATGACAGAGAGAGTAGGATGCCTTCTGTAAGTTGGGACTGTGGAGGTACATGGTTTACGAAAGAAGGAACAGCAATTGAAGCACCAGATGATGAGGTTCTGTAAGTTGAATATACCCTGTTGACATATGTGCAGACCTCTGTACCGTCTAAATAGTCATCCGGCCACGATGGTCTCTGACCACCGATACCCAGACTTGAGATTTTACGTGTGAGAATGGTGTACGAGACTGTGCCAAAAGCCATCACGAAATCCAGGAACACCACATAAATAGAGACTAAGTGGTCCCAGGATAGCGCCATTGATCACCGACTCCCAGAAGGTTTGATACATAGGACCTCACCTCTCATACTTTGGTTTCACAGATGCTCCACAGGTGAATACATTCTTAAACTACAATGTTTATCAGCACACAAGTTAATTTTTGAATAAGAGGTCAATAAGCTTAAGTTGCGCTTCGAAATTACTATATAACACGTAGCACACAGTTGTACAGAGAGGTACAAAATATGAGAGAGGTAAACAAAACTGGCTGACAGATTACGTAACACCCAAGGAAGTGGCATCTGTGAGATTGTGGTCAACTCAATAAATTGAAATCAGTGGGTTGGTAAAATAAAAAAATGAAACAAGATCAAATTGTATCCATTATGAAAGTGAGAAATTGACCCCAATCTCCTACTGTATAAGGAGGTTGAAAGGAGAGATTGGAAGTACTTCTTCTGTACATAAAGTCTGATCTTAAGTCGGCGGATCGCCAACTTTTCTGTCATGCACATAATACCATACTCTTTTGAACCTTCCGGTCTAAATTTATAGGATTCTGGTGGAGATATGGGGCATTAGTTGGCTGAGTGCTCAAGCGTTGAACTTCTTATAGACTCGCACTATTTTTTGATAGCCATGCTGGGTAGTAATGTTGCTTGGTGCTTGAAGGAATGGGTCTCGAGTTCCAGCGTAAGTGGGAACAACATCGCTCACTGGGAGGCAGGTACACCGAGCTGACGAGTCACAATTAGGAAAAAACGTGTACTCTGGATTCCACTGCTAGCCACCATCCATCATTAATATACAGTCTGGATAATGTTGAAAGGTGCGGTTAAAGAGTGCACACTTTGTCCCTCACATTAAACTGACTTTACAGACACATATTAATATGGTCAAAAGCAGCGGTTTATCCCTAACGCATCTATGAATCAAATGTCAACTATTCCAGGCCAAGTGGTCTGTTTTACAGTTGTGTTTTCTACTATATGGCTGTGGAAAAAGGCCACTAAAGAAGAGAGTATAAGGAGACTTCAGGTGTTGGACTACGGTTGTCATTGTAGCAGAGGCGGTGTATCGTGGTGCCATCACGTCAGCGTCGTGGGATTTGGACCTTTGAGTTCTGGAAAGGAAGAAAAATCAGTTGATGAGACTTTAAACCCTAATCCAATGGATTGTCTGGGACATACATTTACACATGCCCAGTCATTGTTTGCTCTATCTCATAATGTCAACTGAAATAAGTTCAGGTTAGAAAAGGGTTAGAGGTGACCAAACTGAAACACGGCATCAGTCCATGAAGTATTTGACAACTGGTGTGATCTATGTGGGGTACTACACATTCTCATCTGGATTTCACTTGACGACAGAAACCAGTGGATGAAGACTGTAGGTGATATGGTTCAGAATCAGTCTAGCTGCAGCAGATGTAACCCCAAATCATCGTCGTCCAAATAGTCAAAGTGAGTTTAAGTATTCTTTCATGCTTTCTTTTAAAGACAATCTGTCACTTTTGACTGCTTTCCTCTTTGTTTCGTTACCTTTCATCTTAGTGTGTTCTCACCTGATGTGGTGGCATAAGCCGGAGCAACTTGGGGTGTTAGGCAGTATTATCAAGTTCTCTCTTGATCTTACCTTTCTGTCGACTAGGTATTTTTGCTGCATTATCCTCACTAAAATTAACATCAATGTTTTTTGCGATTTTGGGGAATTTTTAAGTGTGTTGTTTACCTTTTAGATTCTTATCCCTGAATATTGAGGGAAATCTGTTCTACAAGAATACTTGTCAAGATCTTTTTAATTCATCTCTGAACCTTTCACTTGTGAAGATCGTTCTAGTTCTCTCCGACAGCAAATGGATTAGATTCTTCACTGGTTTTAAAGATGCTCTTTAGACTCACTCAGCTTTGACTGCCCCGCTAACAACTATTAAAGTAGAAGCAGTATTCATCACGGACTGACATCAGTTGGGGAATCAGTGAAAATTTGAGAGCACTGGACAACTGTTTTGTCCCATTCTGAGACTCCTTAACAGTACTTACCCACAAACCGACTGCGAATCGAACTCAGGACCTTCAGGTTTCACGACGAATGCGTTAACCATTCAGCAACTGGGTCGGTTTCTGGTGGTTCACAACTTCCAACTTCTGTCACTTCGCGACATGGAGCGACTATCACCTAAGGTTTTCAGTTAGCATTCACTTCACTTCCGACCGGTTGACTCCATAGGTCACGGCTTCTCATTAGAGCTTTGTGATATCCATCTGGAAACCTGAAGGTCCTGAGTTCGATCCGTAGTCGGGTTGTGGGTACGTACTGTTGAGGAGTCTCAGACCAGGACGAAACAGTTGTCCAGTGCTCTCAGATTTTCACTGGTTCCCCAACTGATGTCAGTCCATGATGAATACTACCTCTAAACTAAAAAATCCCTATTCATCTCAAAAAGACATAACTATTAAAGTATTCAGATAGGTTTACCTTGACTATAAAAGTAGTTTCTTCTGTGAAATAGAAAAACGCATTTCGTTATTTTATTAATTGTTTAGTTGCTTTTAAATTCACTGTAATTGTGACCCAGTTCACGTTCAAATATTATGTTTGCATCTGAACCACTTGGTTCATTATAATGCATTCTGTTTGCAGAAAGCTGATAGTTTTATTGAACTTTAGTTGGTAATTTTTTGTTCGAATCGCTTGGGCTTTGTGACGATCATTTAGGATCGCTGTTGGATACACTTTAGCCTTCGTGTTTATACATATGAAATCACAGTATATTGATTCCGGAAAATTCAGTGTGGATATTAGTTAGCAATTTATCAGTCGTGACTATTATGTTACGAACATGATAAAGAGTATATTTCTTATGGCAAAGTTTCACGAAGGGGAATCTCAGAATGCCCAAACATTTGAGTCCTGCTTATAGGGAGGAAACTCACGATACAGTTTCTCCAACTGTAATTAGTAAGAAGTGTTGCTGCGGCATAAAGCTACAATGTCTCATTCATTGAATGAATTAAACAATAATCTTGTTAGCATTCATCCTTCTTACAATGCTATATGTTAGAATTTCTTCTTACAATATCCTAAATTTTTATAAGGGACTTTGAAGGTCAGCTTACCAACTAGCGGGATAGCCAGTTAGACTTCGTCGATTAGGCTAAATTAGTAATTTTTCATAAAATAAGGAAACCTAGTTGGTTATTTAAGTAGTTGCTAGAGTGGCTCTTAGAGTTACTCATTTTTATTTCATTATGTAACATTCTTTTTTGGTTCTTCTTCACTCTACGCTGCCTAATAAAATATCAGATGTACATAAGATGAACACAATAACTTAGCATCATACGGCTATTTGACAACTATGGAAAAATGAGAAACACTGAGAATGTGATGACAGAAATACAGAAAAGACTAGGAAAAATCGAAAACTATAATGCCGTAAAATCAGGAACAAAAAAACCAAGCCAAACAACCAAAGAAATGAAAAGAAACAATAACCACAAAATTAGGAGGCCAGTAAAAATTATGAGCGAGAAAAGGGAAAAAAGGAAAAAGTAACGAATAAGAACAAATAACGAAAATAGGAGCGTTGTTAAAAGACAAACAAAAAACCAAAATGAAGGAGAAGTAACAGTGAAAATGAAACAACAAAAAATGACAGAAAACCAAGAAAAAACCCCAATAAGCGAAACCAACGAAGAACGAAACAATACAGAAATAAACATCAAAGAAGACGTAAACACAGAAGAATCCACAACCACACTGACAACAGATATTGGCACGATGTCCACTCCACTAAACAGTGTTTGCATCACCACAACACCAGTCAAAATGTCTACTGCACCAAGACACATCAGCTGGACAAGCGCAAGTGGGAGTGCCAGTGCAATGAGCCAGCGCAGACAGTGCCAAGCCTCAGTACGTGGACGCCGACAGCATACAGCTCTGTGTCACACGACACCACTGAGCCCCACACCCCACAATACACAATCGTCTTGAGCACCGGAGCATCGACAAACAGCTCGACGACTCCAGTCACCTCAGACAATGCAGTCTTGGATGGTCAACCCGTCAACACCATTGACTAGCTGGCCTACATGCTGTCGACTGACTAAATCACCACCTCCATGTCCAACCACAGGAAGATGGTGGCGACCAGCTCCGAGAGCAGTGGTTCCAGCACTCCGAGCGTCAGCCTCACCACCACCAGCACCACCACAACCACAACAAGCAGATAATTTTGTAGGGTGTCCTATATTTCAAGTCACAATTGTTATTAGGTTGCTTTTTTTCCTACCGTTTGACATATTTTTGATTTAATCTGTAGGTGTTATGCCTCATGAAAAGATTCAAAAATCATACGATTCTGTTACGCGTTATTATAATTTTACTCACTATAATTAAATGTGGAGAATAAGATTGCTCCTAAGTTGTATATAAGTCAGTAAAACTTCACTTACTGTTGTTTTATTACCCTTTTTGTTTTTCCTGTTTGACCACTAAAATCATTTTCACTCGACAATGGTTTCTTTCTGGTTAATTGATTCCAAATGATATGGATTCTCTTCATTTATTTCATCTACAACAGAGAATACAACAGGTATGTCAAGTATTTAACTAATAGGTACTGTTTGGATTTTTTTACATTGTGAAAATATGACCTAATGACACAGAAGTTTGCTATTTACTAGACTTTAAGTAGCATCTCATTAGTTTTTTCGGCTGAGCACAGAATAGATTGTAGCCAAAATTTCTATTTTAAATGATTTTTTTTCTTAAATTTAATGAGGAAGCTACGATTCCAAGGTTTCACTTCAACTTTATTTGAAGAAGACTGGAGAATTATCTTTACCTTATATCGTCTCATATCAATCGAAAGGTACTTTACATTCATAGTTGGGATTTTATTAGAAGCAACAGTTATAATCCTATGTAAGGAAACAAAACAGTATATCTCACTTTCCAATAATACCCGATCTCCTACTGATTCTAGAAGCGATTTACTTTCTTCCCCCAAAGCATTTCTTTTTGAGCAGTCAGTGTTAACTTATTATTCAATAATCGACTTAGGTGTTTATTGGAATCATAAATACATTTGTTACACTGTCGAAAATAATCAGTTTACAAAGATTCTCAAATGGTTGTTATATATTTATGATAGTTAAAAAGCAAAAAGAGTTCATGAAATCAAGGTATTATTCAAGTCTCTGTACTCACTGAAATTTATGACAGTTTTTCTAACAGCGAATAGCTATATTGGAAAAGGTCTTGATGATTTTGCATTTACTTCATGACCAAGTTAATGGATAGATTTACATGACAGTTACATTTTCAATGTTGTAAGCCTACTCACTACCGAGATAACTATTTGAAACGGTTCTCTGGAATTGGTTTTTAGTTTGCCTGATGGGAATACGCTGCAAGTATTAGCATATGTAAATGCGGTATAATTTAAGATCCGATTAAGAAATCTCAGCTAAGTTTGTGTAATATTTATAAGTCCTTTGGTGAATGGGAAAACTTAACACATCGAGAGAAGCTTCGACTTTTGTGGAAGAATATCATTTGGTTCAACTGAAACATTACAGTGATCATGAATTACATCAATTTTCGATATTACTGTTACTATATCTTCAGGTATACCATTCAGACATCTACATTTCTTGACAGGTATATTTAGCTGTGAATTAACCATTTCATCTTAAGTGACAAACAACTGAAATAAAAGTTAAATAAAGTTGGTATGGTTTTACATATGTAGTAGCAAAAGTCAGAAATAGCACATCATACCGATTCATGTAATTGCTTTGAAACATTGAAAATCTTAATGTAAACACATTCGATTCACGACTCATGTATAGTTCTCAGAGTGGTATTCATTCAGACGTCTAACTGCTTTCAAAGTTGGCTGAATTAACACTCGAATCTTTTCTTTCTACTCAATTTCAACATGGTTGTATGGTTGTTGCCATTTTATCAATATATGACGAACTGGATGAATGTGAAATGCAAGGTGTTATCGTGAAGACAGTATCCTTCGGTAAGTTGAAAAAAGAAGTAATTGCTTTTCAGTTCCCACTTCTAAGTGGAATTTATCACTTTACTTAATAACACTGTCATTCATTTGATTTAGCGTTGAAGAAATGTATCATGGATGATGAGAATCACACCGTTCTCTGACAATTCATCCCAAATCTGTAAAAATGTCTCTTACATCTTTACCGGCCGTCACAAAACGCATAGTATTCAGTGTTGGTCAAATGAGGTGTTCATTAAGTTGGATGATGCAAGAATTTTTGATCACGATATTTTTGTGAGACAAAAACTATTACAGTGAATAGGATAGTGACAGTGGGGCACAAGATGTAAATGTATGCCCTTGGCTAAATGATGTCTTTCAAAAAAGAGACTTAACTCTTGACCAAGTAAATGGTCTACAGCAGAATTTTTCCAACATTTAGTCTGTTATGAGGACAAAGGTGAATTCTTTATTACGAGATTTCTTTTATTTGCCAATGACACTAAATGCTCACAATATCGAAACCCTATGATAAGGCAATGTCTCATGTACACATTTGAAACAATCCCCTTCCCGCAACTTTCATACTGTAGAAGACAAATATAAATGTTAACTGTCTCCGTTATATTATTGCTCTGGATCATGGATTTAAGCAAATAAATTACATGCTGAAACCATAATGAGTTTACACCTAGTAAATGAATTTATGCCTGACAATTGCGTATAAAAGTTATTTATTTCGGACCCATATGTATCATATGGATATTAGTAAAGGGTTCCTACTGAACTGAGTTATACAAACAGTAGTACAGTAAGATAAATCCTCAACAAAATATCGTTAAATGTAAGTAAAATAATCGGCCTGTATACACTGATAGATCTTATGTATAATTCTTTGATCGGTTTCCGCGATGACAGGGATCACTTTTTGACGGAATGCATTCCAGTATGATGTGGTCGAATGATGATGACTAGCGAAGACTGCTTATTAGACTAAGAGTTGCATTTCGTGTAAATAGATGTCATGCGAAACGTCGTGTAATGGCTAGACCAATGATTTACAATTCAACACAACATCCACTCTACACTAGAAAAGCACAGTCATTTCCTGAACGAACACATGTACTCGTTGACTGATTTCCGTCCTGATGTCACTCCTCTGTGTCACAGTCAGAAAGCAGAAAGTGTTCAGTAATGCCTCAATGTTCCTGCGTGCCTCTTGTTTATTGCCTTTCAACGGTAGTGGAATATTTGTAGAAGGGAGGATGATGACAGGCTCGTCGAATCGTTAGTTGACAGTGAGATGGTTGTTGCACTGAGTTGTGCCAGGAAACCAGGCGAATGCACACACATGATGAGGGCGGCTAGTCTTCACCACAACACGCAGGATGCATTGCATAAACACACTCTACATAGCAATCAGGTCAAGACTGCCTTTGTAAAACTGACATGTTTCAATGTGTAGACAATGTGATAAGCAGTGGTTTCATTCTCTTCTAGTGATCTCATCACCCCTGACGAAATCGAATCAATCCGTGCAGTGGAACGACAGTCTGTTGGACCCATCCACGGCCTTATATCAGGAATATGCTTCAGAATTGTGTGATCTGGTAAGATAACTTTCGGCTTTTTATCATGTATGTGTGAGATTATTCGTATGTTATTACTAGGTGATTTAGTTTTGTTTCGTCTCATCGATATGTTCATACATGGACTAAGTGGCTAATTTTATAGAATTTTGGGACAAACTAAAATAATATTGCAAGTTAAAAAACTTATTAACAATCACTTTCGGGGACTTTGTTGTTTCCCTGTCAGCATGCACATATGACGATCCATAAATTAACACCAGGTTCACATAAATTGCTTGTTAGCCTTGAATTCATTGTACCTGACTCACTTTCAAATATCTTCATCTTATGATAAAACTTGCTGTTTTTGATTATCGAAAAACTGATCTTCATCTGAAAATATTCATCTAATCAGGACTTCTCGGTGAATTTAATTACTGATTAGGAACACATCATAAATGCATGTACATATTCTTGATTACAAGATGAGTCCTTCCATTTAAGTGAATAAACTTCAATATCTGAATTTTAACTGTCTTGGAATTACTTATGCCTTATGAGACATCATTTCTTTACAAGAAGGTGTAATAAGTACTCGACAGACTTTGGCAACTCAATTGCATATAAAAAAAGATAGGGAGAATCATAGCACTGTGAAAGACTATAAGTCTTCTCATAAATTTACAAAAAATTAAAAACCTCTGAACCTGCAAAAGATGTTTAAAATGACATTGAAACAAAATAAGGGTAACTATCTTACATGGTGCACTTTGAGTCTTGTGGAAAACACATCTTTTGATTTGTGTTTGAACTCATTTGTTGTGCAGAATAAGAGATTAGGACACCATAGCAATTATTACCTTAATAAAATTACTTAAATTTGCAAAGGAAGTATTTCTTAACATTCTGCTTAAATAAAAAAGAATCAATTCACAATTTGCGTGAATAACGGGGTCTCGGACCCAGTAGATGTAGTATCTAAGACTGTTTCTGTGCATTTTTAAAAAAGACACTATACATATATATATATATATATATATATATATATATGCATGTTGAATACAATCATAAAGATAGATGGGTAAGTGTTGTTAAAAAGGGTTTTGTTTGAAAGATATGTGTAACATCGAGTAAACATTTTCACCATAATATCAATACAATGCAGCGTTTTGCTCAGGAACAGTAAGCGTAAATCCTTCAGATCAACAGATCAAATTGCAGCCAATAGTATGCCAGAAGCGAAATCAGAATAAAAAGTGGCTGTAAACCTTAAAAGCTCTTACTGATTAGTAAAATGTCACGAAATCAGAAACTCTGGTGTATACGAATATATCAGCAAAGTTTCGTCAATAGCAAAGTTTATTATCTTGAGGCTTCATCTAAAAGGTATGAAAAAAGTAAATGCGACTCACTGCTTTATGTATTAAACTTTAAACCAGTAAATCATGGGTTCATAACTCGCTGCAGTCAACTTTGTATTGCCATCAGCCATGACGCAATTAGAGTACCTCATACCCTGTAATAACTGTTCGACCACTTCATTTTCAAATTTAAAGTATATCTGTGTTTAAAGAGTGCAATGATACCTAGTCATATAATCTAGTTTTCGGGCAATGATCTCACAGTGAGAATGAAAAACAACAATTAAATTCGAATCAGTACATGAGAATTTGGGCATTGTGGCAGTGTGAAATTTTTTATTTATCATAATGAAGTAATCATACAACCTTCTTGTCTAGTTTATATCGTTTTACTAGCTTCTATTGCTTAATTTCAATGGTAGTTCAGTTTTCAATTCAGTGTCCAAGATGAGC